CCTGCGAGGATACTGTTTGGTAGTGAACTTCGGTTGCCCAACGATTTAAAATTTGGAATAACTGGGAATGCGAGAAGAATTGGGAAGGTAACGTCTACCGATCACGAGAGCTAAGAGAGGCGCATGCTCTTGTGAGATAGCGAACTCAAGTTATGAGTGACAAAATGAAGGCCAGATATGACAAGGCAATGAACTCCGAAGGTTTCCAAAATGGAGATTTGGTGTTGCTGTACAATCCAGAACGGAAGAGGGGTTTGTCCCCAAAACTTCAATGTAATTGGGAAGGTCCATATAAGATAATCAAACGACTAAAAGACGTAATGTATCGAATCCAAACCGTTGGGAGTCCAAGAAACAAGATGAAAGTGGTCCACCTTGAGAGGCTTGCTGAGTTTGGAACCGCGCAACCTACTGCTATATAAGGGCGACACTCAGCTGCCAAGTCAAGTCAGTGACAAAGTGAACTCGTTGGTAACAACATAGAGTATAGCGGAATAAACTATTTGAGTCGTAAAGTAAACACGTTGGAGATTACTTTTAAGTAGAGTAAATTGTGAAAGTTTATGCAAGTGATTGTAGCTAGTAAAGTGCATTGTAATTTGATTGTGAATTACTGAGTAAATAAAGGACATTAGTTAAATTCTTTATAACGAAAGAAACTGCAATTTAAGTTGGCGATTTTTATTTAACAATCCAGAGATCGTACCCGAAGAATTTAGAAAATAATCGAGGTTGATTTAGCAAAATCGTAACAATATTTTTGATCCCGTACGGCATCCTTACTTGAGTTCTTTATTTTATATCGTATTTGTTTTGCTCACGTCATTCGTTCTCTGCTTCTCCAGACAATACACTATTCACAATGAATCTCAATTATGTGTCATTGAATAGTCGTCACTCCCTTTCATTTTCTATATTGTTTGAGTCTAAATCTGCAATCGTGCATAGTTTTCCCCGAAAAATCTTAGTAATATTTTATGCAACCAATTCAATAACTCATTACTTTGATTCTGAACATAGTAACTGAACGTGAACTACAGAAAATATGGTGAAAATTTTTTGTCTACTTTAAATTATCTCACTTGAAAAGTTGGCTGGATATGAAATTGCAGCATAAAAAAATTTTAGAATGACGTAAAATTTAAAATTTGCGAGTGTAAAAAACAAAAAAAAAATAGAATATTAGAATTAAACCTGGCCTTATATGAGTGCAAGAGGGTACGCGTGTGTATTTGTTTAGTACTCGGAGTATTGAGTTTAGGAAAAAATGAGTAAGCCAGAAACAGATTCGGACAGCTCGGAGGAATTTTTCGATGCTGAAGATTCTACGCCTAATCGTCTGTCCACCTTAAGGTTTGTTTTAATTTTAAGCATATCCAAAAAAAGTTTTAAAATATATTTGTCACAGTTTAGTAATATTTAATTACTTAAATATCATAAAGTGTAAACAAAAAACACTGTCCTACGATCTAAATTGTTTATTTCTATAGTCGTAATTGTAAGCTGTCGCTTGATAATGCTCCAGCGCAAGATGGATTTATTTTCCCAGAGCCAGCTGTGCGTGTCAATCCATCATCAGACAGCGATGCAACGCCAATAGGTGGTGTCACACCATCCACAAGCAGCCCAACAAGTAGTTTGAGTTTGGGAACGCGTGGTCCTAAACAAGACATATTTGTAGAGCCTAAACCTGTGCAGGTAAGGAAATATAATTTGTTTTAAATTAAAAAAGGTAGAATAATTTGCATTGCATTGTTGTTTACATTGACATTTAACTGAACAGCAGTCGATTTTGTTATTTGCATGTTAGTTTGTGTTATTCGATTCATTGTGTCTTAAAAGTGTGTGTTGTAGAAGAATTTGTTAGTCAACAAAATATAAAAATGAAAAAAATTATTTTCATATTGATTTCTTAACGAAGTTAAAGGAAATATTAAAAATGCAATTAAAGTAAAATAGAAATGGTGATTGTGTTAATGTACGACAATACAGTTCATTGACTAAATACTACTATAAATTAGTAATGTAATTACTTACTAAAATGTTTTCGATTTCACTTTCAAATTCATTTTTGGAAGCTTGTTGCTGGTCATACATAAATTAACAATTTTGTTACACACCAAACCAGTGATATTGCTGGGTTATGCATAGGCGGCAATATTAGCAGTGTAAACGGTCATCAATCTATACGTGACTATACGAATTAATTAGCATATTTAGTCATTCGTATTACAATTAGGCGTTTGGAGACAACTTTCTTTATAATTACCAGCTGGTATTTTTAAAACATAATTCATTAAAATTGATTCTAATCATTTGCGGAAAAATTGATCGATTTCTTAATTAAGATATGTGGTAATATCAACTAATTATAAACGCGTCGTCGTTAATAACATTTTTACCAAGATAATTAAATTGCATCTTATCAGTAAATGAATGTGCGATTATGTTATGGTCATGAGTAGTTGTTTTTAATAGAATTATTTTATATATTTGACTTTTGTACGTATGTATGTAGATACATATGTAGATAAAATATATGTACATACCTACATATATATATTCTAGGTACGGGCATATTTGTTGTAGCTTTAAAGAGTTAAGTAATTACTTTTGATAAATGAATATTATTAACTGAGGGGACCGTTCGTTTAGACATTGCCTTGCGCGATAGTATCTTCCGCCCTACCATCTGTACAATGGGGAATTATGTGTGAAAATACGTTATTATTTTATGAAATAACTGACCGACTGTAGATTAAAACCACATTCAATAAGTCGTTTATTTTATAAGTTTTAAATGTTGTATAAATGGTTGTTGATTAGCACAATTAGTTGTTACTTAATGTCCGATATATGATACATGTATGTATGTTTACAAATTATTCATTTTAATTCCCTACAAACATTATTTCTTTCATAACAATAGCTTAATATTATTTAGATCCAATCTTTAAACTTCTCTTATCTATATGTAATATTTTATTTTATGTAAGTTAATAATTTATTTTCACTTTAATTTTTTATTTCCATATCCTCTATCAAAAAAAAAAAAAAAAAAATAAAAAAAAAAATTAAATAAAAATACTTACAAAACCAAAAACAACCAAAAACCAAATTCGTAGTTTGGTAGGCAGCGCTTTCACGAATTGCGTCAATGCATGCAAAATGATGAAGATGATAATCCTGGAAACACTCTCACACCTGATTCTCAGGTATTATCATAACTAATTTTTGTTTACTTTTTCTTATTTGCTTTATTCTTAAGTATTTATTATCTACATACATGCATATAAATATATAAAATATGTTTGAATTAATGTAATAATTGAAATATTCATTCACTTATTTAATCTAATGCAATATTCTATCACTTATATAGTCTATCTTTCAAATAAATTCCAAATGTTCCGTACACAAGTTAATAAAACACAAATGTTTAGTACTTTCATATAACAGTACACTTTTAAAAATTGCGATTTACTAATATATCCATTCTCTACTATTCATTTATTCACCTCAACAGAATAGTTCCACTGATGGGGTTTTCACAAATCGCACTACGCATCCTTTTAAGGTGATCGAAAATGATACTATGAGTATACAAAGTATGACCTCGTTGGGACGCGTTGGACGCATTTTAGCTGGGAATATAGATCCATCTGGTATACTAGTCCCGTTAACAAACTTATTCGAAATCTTATGTAACACTGTTTTCCTTATAGCTTTGAGTATCGATCGCGAGTCACTAGCAGCCCATTCGGCATCCTCGGCGAATTCTCATCAACTGCAGCAGCAGCAACAGCAACAACAGCAAATGTACTTACAACATTTGCAACAACAACAGCAACAGCAGCAACAACAACTACAGCAAAATTTAGGTATCATGGCTCCATCAACTAGCAATAATTTGGCTGCCTTGGTTGAGCAACAAAATGTTGCTGCTGCAGCAGCAGCTGCCGCCGCAACGGCGCCACGTTCTAGTAGTAATGTTTCACGCATATCTACGAAATATACCTCAACACCAGCAGCATCACCAACACACAGTCAAACTTCCACTTCCACAATTGGCGCTGTTGTGACTGCTGCTGCGGTGACGGCAGTAAATCGAACAATTCCTGATCCTAAAATAATATTTCAAGAGCCTGACGTGATTGCCAGTACTAAATTGGCACATTCGAAAACGACAGACTCGATTACATCGAGTGGCCCAATTGCACCACCTAGACGCAAGAAAAAGTCACGGAAATCAACCAGTTCTTCGGATCAATTAAGTATGAATGAAGCCATGCAAATGTCTGCTGCACCAGACACTGAAGACACCGATAGCGATACTCGTTCGGTGAAGAGTGTGCTTGATGTGCAACAGAAGTTGCACGACGATCTTGCTGAAGAAATTGAACGTTCGTGGCAGGAAAAAAAATCATTTGCAAGTGTACATGCTGTCGGTGGCGCGACTACAGCGGCCCCTATCGGCACCGCAACAATAAATAGTACATCTTTGCACATGTCCGTAGGCAGCGGCCGGCCGCATAGCATTGGCATGAATGCGCTTACTATGGGTATTTCGAATATTCCATTAGGACCATCCATGACCATGACCTCTTCAACGGGAGTCGTAACCGCATCTATTGCATCGTTGGCTCAAACATCTACCTGCAATACACGCCCAGTTACCACAGCAACTGTTGGTGGTTCTATAAATCGTATTTCACATTCGTTGGGCAACAGTTCAACATCGGTTTACTCCAAGCCCAGCCCATCGAATTCGGCGAAGAGCAACTCTGCACCCGGACGTGTCAGATACTTGTATGTATTCAGGAATGCAAAAGAATATATTTAAATGCTATACATTAAAATAAGTTATGCTGCTGGTTTCATTTACAGCTCCATTGATCCTTCACAAGGTCTTAATCTGTATAAAGCCACACAAGGTGGCTGTGTGGTAAAGCCACGTGACGAAGCGTGCAATAAGGCTGAGGGTCCAACACAGGAGGAAATTAAACGCATCGAACAAATTTTAATGGATGATGGTGCACGTCCCATTTTAGCTGGAACCGGTTCGAATAGTTTGGGTAGCGGTACAAGGTATGTGATTTCTTTAAAAAAAAAATAATAATAATAGAGATTAATAAATTACTCATAAATAATATTATATTAAACATGAGATAAAATAAAAATTAAAAAAAATGCAAAATAAAAAATAAAATATAAAAAAATATATATGAAAAAATTAAATATAAAAACAAATAAAATATAAAAAAAAAAATAAAAAAAAATTTTAATGTAAAATAAAATAAATACAAAAAAAAAAAAAAAAAGGATAAAAAAAAAAAAAAAACAATAAAAAAAAAAAAAAAAAAAGGATACAAAAAAAAAATAAAGAAAATTGCCACCTTTCGTATCTCCACCAGACAATTTCTCTGCTTTCTTTCTTCAATTTCCATTTGTTTTCAAAGGACTGCTCGTACTGCCTTGCGTACACTCGTTCGGTGTGCATTGTTTGTTTTGTTCTGATTATCTGGTGGGTGGTTACGCCAATGCATCGATCTCTTCCTATTGTCGGCCTCGCAGGTAGCGTTCGCTGGTGAGCTAGTGCTGGTGTTGCCATTTTTGTTGTTGCATCATTTCTTTTCTTCAATTTTTGTATCCTCTCGTNAAAATAAAAATTAAAAAAAATGCAAAATAAAAAATAAAAAAAAAAAAAATATATATGAAAAAATTAAATATAAAAAAAAAAATAAAATACAAAAAAAAATAAAATACAAAAAAAAATTAAATACAAAAAAAAAAATACAAAAAAAAATACAAAAAAATAAAAAAAAAATTTAATATGAAAAATAAAATAAAAAATTGAAAATAAAAAAAATATAAGACAAAAAAATTAAAAAATAAAAATTAAAAATAAAGGGATTAAATAGAAAATAAAAAATTGTGGAAAAAAATTAAACAAAAAAATAAAAAATAGGGAATGAAAAAATAAATCAAAAAACTAAGAAAATTAAAAATTAAATGAAAATAAACCAAAGATTTAAGAAAGTAAAAAATTCAAAAATAAATAAATCAAAAATTTAAGAAACTAAAAATTGAAAAAATATAAACCAATAATTTAAGAAATTAAAAAAAGGAAGAAAATAACCCAAAATTTAAGAAATTAATAAATAAAAAAAAATATAAATGAAAAAAATAAAAGAAAAAGAATAAAACTAAAAAAGGAAAAAAATTAAAAAAAAAGAAAAAAGGAAAAAATAACACTATAAAAATAAATAAAAAAGAAATTATAAAAATAAATAAAAAAGAAAAAAATAAAGAAAGAAAAAATTAAAAAACAAAAAATTAAAAAAGAACAAAAAAGAAAAATAAATAAAAGAAACAAGGAAAAAAATAAAGATAAATTAAAAAAATTAAGGAATGGAAAAAAAAAACTAAAAACCAAAAAGTTCAAAAAAATAAAAACCTTAAAATTAAAGAAAATAAACAGAAACATTAAATAAAGTAAAAAATAAAATTAATAAAAAATAAAAGTAATAAAAAATAAAAGTAATAAAAAATAAAAATAATAAAAATATAAGAAATAAAAGTAATAAAAAATAAAAATAATAAAAAATAAAAATAATAAAAAATAAAAATATAAAAAATAAAAATAATAAAAAATAAAAATAATAAAAAATAAAAATAATAAAAAATAGAAATTAAAAAAATTGGTAAAAAATAAAACGAAATGAAAAATTAATAAAAAAATGCTGTATTGAAATCATATAATGAATTCAGAAGTTTTTTAAAGTGGTATCTGGAAACCAAATTTAGACGAACGAAATATTCTTCAAACCATTATTAGAGATCATAAAATACATAATTGTCAAGGGCATACGAATACTGCTGCATATGGTACTGCATTGGTTGAATTTAACTTTAATTTTACCGTAATCCGACTAGTAAGTTTAAATGAACTTTAGTAAACTCTCCAATTCTTACAGCAACCCCTTTGACATATTCATAATATACAAATTGACCTCACTAAAAGGGCCGTGGCATTTGAAAATCAAGTTAGTGCTTAAATTATTTTTAAAATATTTTTTTTTTACAGTTCATAGCTGAAAACTCATCCACTACTGCCTCAATGTACATACGGTGCACATTTTTATTAATACGTACTACATTTTTTCTTCAAATTGTCTAAATGTATTTTCGTATAGCTAATACTAACTTATGTGTGTATTTTCACTTTTTATTAAGCGCCTCAAGCAATTAGACTTTGCTAAAGTTCATTTAGATTGCTTTTAAATTTGTGTATAATTTATTTAACTAATGCATTTTTAAAATTCACTAATATTTTCGATTAATCTTATCGCCATTATCTATTTTCTATAGGTATCCATCACTTGTGTATCGCTCCAGTAGCGATAAGGAGCGTCGTAAATCCGCCGGCGACGAGGATGTGCTGAAACAAATGAATATTTATGTGCGCACGCGTACCAGTTCCGGCAAGCAATTAACTGATTTTGAAATACTTAAGCAAGTGCCAGTCAAAAACTTAGATACTGGCGAGAATATGACCTTATCTGAGGTCCGTTCGCCGCCCGTGCCCGAAGGCTGGAATCCCTTATCGCTGCATATACTGAAACTCACATCCCATTTGGAGGTGAATCCCAAGGAATCCGATGAGGAGAGTGTCATCGGCATACCGCCATGTAGTGAAGGTCAGCCGCCGGATGAAGAGGAAGGTGAGGCAGAAGATGGTAGTCGTTTGAAGAAGCGGACGGCACGTTTTAAACGCTTACTCGGTGCGACAGTGCGTAAAACTGTTGACAAAGCAAAATCGTTGGCATCTGAGGTATCGCATGCACGTCATAAGGAAGATGTAGCCGACATAACAGATGTGATGAATCCCGAAGCGAATATAAAAATTAAAGCCTCATCAACAAATAAGGGACCATATGAATTTACGAAATTGCAACATGTGCAGGTTTGTTTGTGGTGCTCGATTAAGCAGGCTGAGAAGTTTAAGTAAACAATTTCGATTTCTTACTGTATTATATAGGATTTGTATGGTGAACACACCGGAGCTGTTTGGTGCATGAAATTTAGCTCTTGTGGTCGTCTATTAGCTACCGCAGGTCAAGACAAAGTGTTACGTATTTGGGTGTTAAAAGATGCTTATCCATTCTTTCAGGTGCGTAACTACATATATATTGCTTATTATAGTATGTACTAAGTATTGTTATTCATATACATGCGCATTGCAGGATATGCGTACAAAATATAATGCCGATCAGAAATCTTCCCCAACACCATCGCAAGAGTCGCTTGTTTCCCAACACTCAGAAGAGGCGATCGCTATGGCAGCCGCCGCGGAGAAATGCACTGGACCATTTATGCCGAAAGCATTCTGCACTTACATTGGTCATACCTCAGACTTATTGGACGTTTCGTGGTCGAAAAACTATTTCATACTCTCTAGCTCTATGGATAAGACTGTACGTTTGTGGCATATTTCGCGGAAGGAGTGTCTATGCTGCTTTCAACACATCGATTTCGTCACAGCAATCGCTTTTCATCCACGCGACGATCGCTATTTTCTAAGTGGCAGTTTGGATGGTAAGCTACGCTTGTGGAATATACCCGACAAGAAGGTGGCATTATGGAATGAAGTCGATGGTCAAACGAAACTAATTACCGCTGCGAATTTTTGTCAAAATGGACAATTTGCCGTTGTCGGCTCGTATGATGGCCGCTGTATTTTCTACAATACAGATCAGTTGAAATATCACACCCAAATACATGTGCGTTCAACGCGTGGCAAAAATCGTATTGGACGTAAAATAAGTGGCATAGAACCAATGCCTGGCGAAGATAAGATACTTGTGACGTCCAATGATAGTCGCGTACGTTTGTATGATTTACGTGATTTAAATTTATCCTGCAAATATAAAGGGTATTTGAATGTATCATCACAAATTAAAGCGTCATTTAGTCATGATGGAAAGTATATTATTGCTGGTTCCGAAAATCAATGCATATATATATGGAAAACGAATCATGATTACTCGAAATTGAGTTCGGTAAGTGTGTGACTTTGAATTTATCTGCAAATGAATATTGCACTTAAAGATTACTTTTTATAGGTGCGACGTGACCGCAGTGACTTTTGGGAAGGTATTAAAGCGCACAATGCCACAGTGACTTGTGCCATTTTTGCACCACATCCAGAGGCCATTATCAAGTCAGAACCTGACGAAATTGGACCAAGCGAAAAGGTAGCTATTTTTAATTTCCATAAAGTTTTTATTTCCATACTCAATTGCGCTTTCTTTTGCTGTTCATAGCTACCAAACCATCAGCCAGATCCGCTTGTCGAGCAGCATAAAAAGGGATGTGGGTATGTAATGGTCAGCGCCGATTTCAATGGTGCCATTAAAGTGTTTATCAATAAAACGAAACCGAAGCATAGCAGTTTACCCTATACAGCAATTGCAGACTAAAAAAATTTTTTTTTTTAATATTTAACGCTGAATTTAAAAATTATTGATTTAAAGATAGAAAAAAAAGAAAAGTGATATCGATGAGGTGGAAAGAAGATATACTACGTAGCTTAAAACAAAACATTTCTTTGTCTAATCAATAAAAAGACTTATAAAATATAAATTTTGTGTTTTGGAAAATTATTAGAACAAAAAAAATTGTTTCGGTATGCCTATATATTCTTAATGCAAAATAAAAAATAAAAAATAAAAAGTAGAAAATAAAAACCAAAAATCAACAACTATGTAACTGCGCCGCCTCCGATGAAGGGAATATAAAATTTCTTTTCTACATTTTACAATTTGTTAAAATAAGCACTTCTCCTTACACTGCAAGTAATTTAGTTGAATTGTGTATAATTTAAAAATTTCTCATTTGATTAACGGAGTATTAAGTATTGTATGTATGTATATGGTATATGCTTATATTTATACAACATTTTTGGCCGCAATTTATTCGTATTCATCACTGCACTGCGCTGCAATTGTGTTATTATTTTTATTACCATTGTAATTACGATATATGTAAAATGTAGTTTACACATACATAGCTACATATTAGCAGTTAAAATTTAAGTTTCAATTGACGTCTAGAATGCTATGCTACTACTATTTAGATAATACAATGTATGTATTTATGTATTATTATTTGCGTGGCTGACTAGTCTCGAAGCAATAAACGTCACTCACTTACTAATATAAGTATATAAATATAAATTCAAATAGAATTGAAACAAAAAAATAATGCTTAAAAAATGTCAATTCGTTTTTAGATAGCACATTGCATAGCATTGCTTTGCTGGTATAAATAACATACATACATATGTATTAACATTAATGCATCGCTAAAAAAAATATACATATGTGTGCGTGTAAAGGAAGTGAATTATGTAAATGATAACAAAAATCATCATTAAGCAAAATAAAATGCAATTTATTTTATTTACAATATTTTAATGCGTTTTTATAAACATTTATATTTACATAATGAAATCTACGCATTCAAATTCGAGATGTGCTCGTTTTGTCTGACCGAAAAGCTCTATTGAGACGAGTATTTTTTCTTTTACAATCACTGACGATACAAATATTGGCGTAGTAAAAAGAAATCCATTGTTTTTCATGAAATTGAAGGCTTTAATTTTTTCACTTTTCGTATCCAGCTTTATTCAAACGGTTAAAAACGGGGTTTTTGTGCAATATCTAGCTCTTGGACAATCGAAATCGACTTGTTGTCCGCAGTAAGGCCATTATTAAACGCATGAAACACCAGAAAGCTATGCACTGTTCTTAGTCCTATCAACAGCTTGGAGTCCGGTCTCTTAACAGATAGTACAAACTTTGTGAGTTTGGTATTGTATGTTTTGCACATAGTCTGCATCATTCTGCAGACCTTAGCTCATAGCCAGAGTCTATTCGTAGTATTATTTCTCGCTTCTGCTTCACTTCCTTGAATGGAAATAGACACCCTCCTTAACAAATTCGTCAGCTATCTCATTACCTTCATTGCCAGTGTGCATCCAGTAAAAATACACTCTTTTGTTTTCAGACAGTACTTATATCGCTTCTTTACATAATGCGACCACAGCTGATGTCGTGCTGTATGAAATTAAAACCTTTACGGTCGCTTGGCTATCCATATACAATATAAGTAAATTCTCATCCTTTGAAAACCTGCAGCAGTTAAGAATGCTCTGTTTTTAGTTACAGGCTTCCTAGCGGAAAGTTCCAGTGATGCTGATCATTGAAAGTCTGAATACTCTTTACAGCTCTTTTTTTAAAGATATGTAATTTTGTTCCGAGCTTTCCAACATATTAAACCATAACAGCAATAAAGATCCAGTGGGGGAGAGACCCCAAGCGCAGTCCAAAATACATTCCCATGTATATAGGGCTTGTTTATCTACACTTAGTCTTCACGACAACTTGCCTTCCAACACGATTCCCAGATACTTACTGCTAGGCTTTAGCTGTAAAGTGTCCTATCTTAGATTTGGCTTGATTTGGAATTTTGTATTTCCTTGTAAATACGATCATATCTATTTCATTAGTTTTAACCTTGAGTACCGCTGAAATAGCCCAGCTGTTTATGGTTCTAAGTGCCGGATTCACCAGAAATCGGGTAATGAAACATCGTTTTTATAATCATCTATTGGGGTTTCGGGCTCACCACCACCAGAAGTATGCTCTGGACATCGGTCACCAGATTACCTCCGTGGTTTATGTAGCTGTGCGCTAACCCCGCTTAGGAGCAGGCAAGAACAGTGTGTGTCTTCCAGGTCATCTAATGAGAAATTCCTTGAAACCTTCTGTGAAAAGACACATTTTTTCGAGCATTATCCTTACAGGCGGCCGCAGTAGCCGATAGGTTAGCATTGCGTACTGCCATTCGGAAGGCTCGGGTTCAAATCCCCGTGCGACCAACATCAAAATGTTATGGAAAAGTAATTTAAAAAAAAAAAATTAAGTAAACATTTTCTAATTGCGGTCGCCCCTGGGCAGGGAATGTCAACCCCTCCGAGTGTATTTCTGACAAGAACCATCAATCGTTCGGGGGCGGCTTAGGATAAACTGTAGGTCCCTCCATTTGTTGGAAAAACATCAAGACGCAAAACCACAAATCGGAGGAGGAACTCGGCTGAAAATCGCTTCAGCGGTTACAAAGCGTCAATTATATACCCTTACCAGCCAGCTACTCAAGCGTACTCACACATTGCGGTCTCTTTCTATGTTCTGTGTCTGCAAATGTGTCTTGCTTCCCTCCCTAGCTCTCGAGTGTCTATTCCACGCCGCATGCGTCCTGGCCTAGCGCAGCAACGTGATGAAGGCAGCCTGTTTTCACTCCTCTGCTGTGTTCGTTTCCGTTCTTTATCTGGCACTGTCGAAACCCAATTGTTTCCGTAGCTGCGATATGTGGGAAATTTGAGGCGCCGTTCCACAGTAACCTTATATTAATTTATATAGATAGAAAGCAGAAGTGTAAGCCGTATAGAAAACCGTTCGGCTGCCTGTTGTGATGGCAGCTATTTGACGTCGAATTTTCCTGGTTTTTGTTAATGGCTTTTCTTTGTTACAAAGATTGATCTGAGTCGAAGTAGGGTTCTCGGAACCTACGCCAACCGAGAACACTGAAGACCTGTCTTTCGTGAGTTTCAACAGGATCCATTTGGTTGCGAGATTTTCGATCCGACGTCAGTCATATACGAGTATATATGTATAAAACCCAACCAAGTTACGATTGAAACGCAGAGAATTCAAAATATCAAATATTCAAACTTTTATATTTTTAAAAATAAAATTAAACCCTACATTGGGTAGCACACAGACAAGTGCATACCACTGTAAATATATAAATATTCCAATGTAGGGAAATATGTATAACGAAGTAATAGGGAATGTTTAATAAATTATCGCTTTAAATATTCAAGCGCGAAAAGCAAAAACTTAAAATATAACCGTTAACAAAAACAAATGCTATTCCAAATATAAAATTATGAAATTAAAATAATTCATTAAAAAAGTCAAAGGGGTATGCTTATGCATACATATAACTTTATCATTAGTGATAAAAAAAAAAAAATAGAAAAAAGGAAAAAGAAAATAAAAAAAATACTAAGCTTTCTTATACGAGTAAAAACTATCCTGTATTAGCGGCTGGTAGATGCGAGCATCTCTCAATTTACGCGCCTCAGCATCAGGATTGTATAAATGCACTTCCATAATATCATTCAGGTCCTGCTGAAAGGCATCCGACATAGCTACAGGCATTTCACCGCCGATAATATCATCCGCTCCCATGAGATCCGTCATACTAGCTGCATTAGCGTTGTCATAACTTTTGGGTTCTTTGACTATGCGTGCCACCAACGTACGTTTGAGTACGACATTTTGCAACGCTTGCTTGATGTCCTTCTCACGTAAGCGTGGATTTGGTCTAAGACCGTGTAGACGTGCACGTATTGTACGCAATGGCCAACTAATCAGCTCCAGTGGACATTGTTTGAGTTGTGTGATCGGCACGGTGGCAGTGTTTAGGTAATCGACGTAAAACACGTCAACTTGCTTGGCGACCGGATTGTATGAACGTATTAGAGCGCGATACCATTTCTTATCCTTATGGTATTGTGCCAGGCAAATTGTGCGTGGTTCGAATTCGCTTAGTGGTGCTGCTGATTTTACCAAATGTTTGATGCGTCTTTGTAACTCCAATTCCCGATATTCGAATTCCGTGAGATGTGGTAAGATTTGTACTATTGTTGGTGTAATTACATAGACAACACTGCATTCGAAGGTGCGTTTACCGACTGGAAGTTGGGGATTTTTAAAACATTCGATGCCGCTGAAGTGTGAGAACACCGATGAGGTCTCATTAGGGTGGAACCGGTCGAAAGCGGAAGTTTCCAGAAGCTATGATCAAAAATACGAAATAATTGTTAACAAGTCGTGTTGGTCTGAAAAATATTTCACTAACATACATATATGGTTGGAAAAGTAAATATTGAAAACGAAGTTTCACGATTTCGATTACGATTTTTTCAAATTCATGCGGTCTTTTTCGATGACGATTTTTTCTTTCTATCAGGCGTACAACTTTGCTTCCGCCGTTTTCCGATAGGTGGCTGTACCGGCTGAGGCTGGTTGAAATACATAGATGATAATGCCTTTAAAGTGAGTGTGGACAGTGCCTAACGAATTGTCATCGCCGTTTCAGTGACAGTTGTTCTTGTTTTCGTATTATTCACGCTCGAAAATGTCCGTTTATGTGCCTAATTCTCGCCATTTGCGGGAAGTTTTACTTTTCTGTTACAATTCGAAAAAAAAATGCAGCTGAAGCGCATCGAATGCTCTCAGAAACTTACGGTGATGCTGCTCTGAGTGAAAGAACGTGTCGGGAGTGGTTTCAACGAATATTCACGGCGCCAAGGTTATGATTTGTATTTGGTGGGATCAGCTCGGTGTGATTTACTACGAGCTCTTAAAACCGGGTGAAACCATCACAGGAGATCGCTACCGAACGCAACTGATGCGCCTTAGTCGCGCGCTAAAAGAAAAGCGGCCACAATATCAAGAGCGACATGACAAAGTCATCCTCCAACACGACAATGCTCGGCCTCACGTCGCAAAAGTGGTCAAAAAGTACCTGGAAACGCTGAAATGGGAAGTCTTGCCCCACCCGCCGTATTCCCCAGATGTCGCCCCTTCTGACTTCCACCTATTCCGTTCGATGGCACACGGCCTGGCAGATCAACATTTTCAATCCTTCGAAGAATTGGAAAAATGGATTGCTTCATGGATAGCGTCAAAAGAGGACTCCTTTTTTCGAGCCGGGATCCGAAAATTGCCGGAAAGATGGGAGAAAGCTGTCGCCAGCGAAGGACAATACTTTGAATAATATATCTGTAAGCCTTTTCTCGCAATAAAGCTTTTAATTTTGGAAAAAAACGGCGGAAGCAAAGTTGTACACCTGATATTTTACATAAATCATAAATGTTTGTGCTAAAAATATTGAATATTTATAAAAAAATATCGATATCAATATTTTCTTATAATGCATGTTTATAGATTTGAAATTCAAATTTAAGTAATCGGTTGCCCATGAAACCACATATTGGATAAGTACAAAAGTCTTAGCGGGTTTTCTATACATATTTGAATAAAATTTTTCTTTATTGAAAATTATGTGTAATTAACTATGCAAATATTTATTTAAGACGATTATTATACGAGGGGCGGTTGATAAGTTCACGGTATAAAGTAACATCGTGAATACAATGCCTTTATACCGCTGAAAAAATATTCTTTGGATTTCTCACTGTCGTCTGAAAATCTTCGTCCCATAACTCTTTTTATAAATTTGAAATAATGAAAAAGTAATGTCCGGACTATAGGGTTTCTGGTCGATTTATGTACATCCAGTAGATCACTCACAACCGAGCACTTTGTCTTCTGCGCGCCACAGCTCTTCTGTATGACTATCTCACGCGCCTCACTCAACATATTAGCGCAATACAGGCCGTTTCTTGTACAGGGTTTTCCAATAATAATGAAATGAATGAAAATGAATGAATGAATGAAATGAACGAATCCAAGTTTCATCAACTGTTACAATGCGGTTGCAAACTTCATCCAAATTATCTTGGCGCAACTCCGAAAAATATCTTTACAACTTCCCCTTCCCGGTATCGAAAATTTCTTCAGATCGTTTTTTGCTAATCTGTAATCCTTCTGCTATCTGCCATAATTTCATCCTTCGCTCAGCCAGTATTAATTTTTCGACTTTCTGAACATTTTATTCTTTCACGACCGTCATTGGGTGCCCCAGAGGGGGGGGGGGGGGTTCATTTTCACAGGTCTCTCTTTCTTGTTGAAAATCCGAGCGAAATTTTTACCATCGTATATGAAGGGGCAGAGTCCTCAAGAAGCGATGAAATCTTTTTAAAAATTTCCTTCGGCGTACTTCGTTTTTTTTAAAAGAAATTCCATCACAGTGCGGTGCTCCAAATTGCGAGAATTTTCAGTTTTCGTTGATATAGTGTTGTTGCTTTTTCTAGGAACGAAATGTTAATGAACCTAATGAAACAATCAAAGATGTAAGTAGTGATCCTATGTTTTCACCATACCAGAACTTTTCTGGACGTTTTTTTGAAGACCTTTTTGTCAGATTATTAAGTAATGGCGATAGAGAGATAGAGAGCTCCCTTCCCTTCCAATCCTACCATAAACTCACCATCATCACCTTGTAAGCCGTCAACTCAGGTCTTAAAGTCGTTTGTGGGGGGTAAACGGCTTATGACCATGACTTTTTTTGTTTTATATTATTGTATTTAACCAAGTTTTCATGGCCCGCGTTTCAGAAGCGTATCCAGGCTTTCTTATACGGCTTCAATCTGTCACAATAGTACTGTTGTTGTAGCGTCTAACTAAGCTCCGACGTGTTTGGACAAAAGGGGGGGGGGGTATTGTTAGAGTCGTCGTGCGATTGCTTGAAAGACCTATGTAATGTCAAGTCTGGGTGGGTAAGAATTAATTAAGTATTACTCAGTTCTAGTGAGGGATGCACATAACCTCCGCTACCTTCTGACTGCAACAAGTTGTAGAATTTTTTCGGATTTTTGAGTGGCTGTGCGACAAGAACGAGGCACATTTTTTACATCATAATTTCCAAAACGGCATCGAGTACAACACTCCTAGGTCTGGCGTTGAGGTGAATGGCGTCTGGGTGAATGGCAACTTTTACCATTTTTATAGTAAAAAACTTTTTTTTATAGTAAAAAAGGATCACAAAACGTAGTTCTTCAGAAATATTACTAATTTTTTAATGAAATTAGGTTTTCACACCTCTGACGATTTACAGAACTGTCCTCGCGAAAAATATTTGCACACACAAGTGACATAATTAGATTAGTTTTGGCCAAAAATTTGAGTATCTTGTGAACGAAAACCGCGACGACTTTTTTTTACTTATCCAATACAAAAACTAAACAAAGTCTTTAAGTTTAATTAAAACAAATTCATAAAAAAAAATTTCACTAATAGTGAAGTTTCACCTGTCGTGGTTGCAGAGCAAAACTTTCGCTATCGCGGAAATCAATCTCTTTTCCTTTCACTTTTTCTAGGCAAATCTCTTCCTCCTTAACTTTCTCCTTCTTATTATCCTTTTCCTTCTGACGCTCTCTGTCCTCATCGGTAGTGTGCCAATAATTGAGTGCAAAACTCTGTTCCAGTTCTATAACAGCTGCATCCTCATCATCATCTCCGATTCCCCAATTGGCACCAAGCGCCCCGGAACCGCCAACAGCTCCACCACCCGTTACATCACTTTGCAAGGCGGCCAATTCATTTTTCATAAAATTCTCACTGCCATATAAATTATCGTGCAACATTTGCTTATGCATTTGTTTGTATTCGTTTGAGTCGAACATTCGCTTCTTACAGGGTGGCACAAATGATTGCTGATGTTGTTGGCTCTGCTGCTGCTGCTGCTGCTGCTGTTGTTGTTGTTGTAAAGCTAATTGCGCTGCTTGTGCAGCTCGCATTGGTGAGAGAGCATCGTTTAGTTCATCATTAACACTTTCCTCACTATCCGAGCGATTATTGTCTTTGTTTAAATTGTAAATCAGCTGATCGAGGCATTCATTAACTGTGTCGTCATCATTGTTATCGCTATCGTCATCATTGTTGTCCTCTTCGCCAGTAATTCTATCGCCTTTGCCGTCGCGGTGTTGTTCGAGGAAATCGGATTTGATGTGTTTGAATTGGAACTGTAATCAAAATATTATTATAATAAGTATTATGCAAGCTGGTAAGGAAGGTTTCATAGCCGAAGTGGTATGGAGGTTGGTTGCAGACCTATAACAATTAGTTTTAGAAGCTAATCACACTTGCGCATAAAGGAATTCACTATTGTAGATACCAAAAATCTGATGGGCAAAGGTCGTAAAAAGTCGGAGGTAATATGAATTTCATCACCGAACCAAACGAGGCGACAGTCTTAGTTCAATGTCCTTGCGGGTTAGGGGCTCAAAAATTTAACAGTGGTGAGGCATGACTGTTGCAAGAGGCGACTAAAATCCAATAGTTTGTGTGACAGTCGGGTCTTTATACCGGAACGACCAGATTTTTATCCGGCCAAGGATTTTCAATAACAAAAGTTTTAGGTCAGTTCCAGGATGCACAGCTTGACGTTCTAAGCCACTTCTTTGTATCTTAACCGCCCCCAATCATAGTATGAGAATCACTTAGCGGTCCTATGTATCTCACAATATCTTCAGAAAGCTCCCCCAATTTGACAATGATGAGCATCTACGAATTCTCGCCTAAAACGGATGTTTCAGCAACAAAATATTGACCCACTAAAGATGATATCTGATGAGTCGGTGTTAGGAGCTTTCGAGTAAAACTTATAGTCCTCTACGAGTTGGGACAGACGAATACCGCAGCCGATGCAACGATGAGCTGTATATACGGCGACATTGCAAGCAGATGAAAAGGAAGACCTCCACTCCGTTGGAAAGACTAGGTAGAGAAGGATTATTCTTCATATTACTATTTACAATATAATCCTAAAATTACCTGATAATATAAACGGGGTTAGATTGCCGAAAAGGTGACAGCCCTTGGTCAAATAAAATCTGGGTCAATACCGGAGCGGAGAAGCGGCTTCCGTCCACATTAAAACACTAGCCCACCGTTTAATTTCTCCAGGGAAGCAAAGCGAGATCATTCAACGGAGGTCTAGCAAACGAACAGTTTAGGCGGGTTCGGACCAGAGGGAACCCTTTAGAAGAGGTGGTTAGTGTCGGGCAGCGTCTTTTTGCTTGCGGAACATACGTTGGGTATGTCGAGATCAAGTTTAATTGTGATCACAACTGCCGATTCTTCGCATCGGCGTCAACATACATGTGAGGACCATATAGTTTCGCTCGCAGCCGCTGCGTTATAGTTGTTGTTGTAGCGGCTACATTAACCCCGCTTAGGGACAGGTTTGAAATCAATCTAAGTCATCGAGGTGATCTAACGGGAGGTCCAGAGAAGGTGCTGTTTCGACGCCATCGGACCAGATGAGGTTATTGTTCTGCAGAGGCTCTCCAAATGCTGGGCATACGTTGGTTATGTTGGGGTCGAGTCTGAATAGGTAGGAGCTTAAACTGCTACAATATCCATACCTATATTGCGCCAGTGTCACGGGGGTCAGCTCGAGCTCGTTGTCTGCGATAGGTGCTGGTTTATCTCCGAGTACGTCATTCACGTGAAGGGAGTCTTTTAGGGTATCGACTGACTTTTGATGAATGGCGTTCAGTGCTTGTCTGTACGCTGTCCAGTCCAGCTGTTGATGCACATGTTGGTGGATTGTGTCCTTCAAGTCTAGTACTCCCTTTCTGATATGTCTAGGTGGAGGTTCAGCTTCTTCTTCCCTACGGTAACATCCCAATAGGAACTGCTTGCACGGCGAAGCATTCTGCTCCTTAGCTCGTAGCATAGATGTTTGCTGTGCAAGTGATTCAACGTACTTGTGACCACTTAATACCATAAAATCTTGGCAAACTCTAAACCTTGAAAGACCATCGTAATATTAATTTAGAAGTTTATAGATATTTGCCGAGCAGTTTGGGCCTTTTTATTTCCTTAAAGTATCAAAAAACTAGGCATACTGGAGCTCATTTGAGGGCACAAACTCTCTTCCGAATTTCTGACTCGCTAAAACAGCAAATATTGGCAGGAGATTTCAACATCTTTCAATGAAATTCCCAAAGCCGTTCGCAGGCGACTTAGAATAAACTATAAATCCCTGAAATGGTTGGAAAAACAACAAGAGGCGCAACGAAATTTGGTGGAGGAGGATCTTAGCCGAAGTTCGCTTTAGCGACTATAAAGCACCAATTACATAATATATTAAATGTCAATACAAACTTACCATTTTATCTGCTTTCACCTGCAACAATGCCTCGTCGAGAGTATCGTCCGTATCCATAGTCAATTTATTATAATCGATTGGTTTACGCTTAGGTTTCGAATTATCACTTTCCTTTTGAGGCTTCGAACGTGATGTTATGGAGACACCACGTTGAACATGTCCAGCGGTGATCAGATATTGTGCAACATCTATGTTACCCAAACGCATGCTGCATAGTTTCACCGGATTTTTAAGCTGTGAGGTTGAGACACGTACGGATACAATTTTCTCAACAATGGTCACATGTATAATATCGAGTACATCTGTCGTGTAGACGCCATTCTCAGTTTTGGCACATATACCTTCAATGCGATACTTATGAGCTAGGCGAGGTAACTTCGGGAATGGTGCGTATGGGAGTAGCTCGGGTACTTTAACTGATTCCACATTACCATAGTCAATGAATTGTACAATGTATTCGTCGTCCTTTGTCAGTTCTTGTATGATGCCACGATAGAAACGTTTGTCCACATGATAACGCACCAAACACGCTTGTCCGGGTGTGTATGTCGGTACAAAATCTGTTGCCAACTCAAGTTCACCATAGATTTTCATAATTTTTTCACGAATTTGATGGAGTAAATTCTCGTCATTGGCATCGTGCAAATAAACGACAGCGTCATAGTCTACATATGTTGGTATAGCGGCGAAAATTGATTTGTCTATTGTTTTCGACTTCAGCCAAGCTTCTGGTGCTTTACCAGTATAAATTTTTGGCTCGTCACAGATTAAAGCGTCTGCCTCAAAATCTAGGATAAAATCCGTTGGAGGCTTTAGTTGGTTGTCGTCGTCCTCGTTTAGAGAGTTATCTAAATTGTCATTATTGAAGACATTTTTTCCTTTCTGCTGTGCGCATTGGTCAATCTCTGTACAATAAATGGTTGAAAAGAATTAAGTTATTACGTTGAAAATAAAAAGTGTAAAGAGATTAGTCTCGGGCTATGCTAAACTCATATTAAAACTTTTATAATCCAATATATCGTTTCCAAACACTTTTTCAAGCACCAGAGGAAAAAATAACCGAAATAAACTTGTTTTGTAATCCGCAAAGTGTCTTTTTATATTTAACTGTGTAACTACTTGCCTCTACTTACCTTTAAGCAGAGTATTAGCTGCGAAATTCTTATTCCATTCCTCCAAAGTGATTTCGCCCTCTACCAACTCCATTTGAAGCAACTTATCCAATTGTTCTGTAACATCCAAACGTTGCACTGAGTGTGCAAGTCCGGCCTTTACTAAAATACGATTAATAATGGAATGTTTGGATATGCAGGGGGCCAAGGGATCCTCAGTTTCAGTTATGGTACCCCAAAGAACAACTGGCAACGAATTGGAGCCTGGTAAACGTTTACCCTGCAAAGTGGCAGATAATGACTCAAAGGAGGTTACGGTGTGTTTAAAACAATCAATGGCAGACAGTGACCATTTGGTCATACCACCAGTCGGCTCCACACATGCCAAATGACAACGATGCACTGCATTCGTAACACGATCCCACTGAGGATTAATCACTCTGAGTTGATCAACGGTAACGTTCGTTATGGTAGCACCAATGTCACGCAAAAATACGGAATATTTTTCACAATCTATTTCTGTTGTTATAGAAATTATAATAGCACGATACCATTCGCATGCACTAGATGATGCAGCATTCGTATTTTTGCTTGTAGTGCCACTTTGGTATTTCATATAGACCAAACAATGATTGCCAACAAACCACTTTTTGGCAGTTTGTGGACATAGTGAAAAGCCTGAGGTATTTGTTTTGTCGCCTTCTTCGTATTGTTCGACCTGTTCGGTCTGTTGGGCGTGTTGCAATTGATTGTGAAATTTGCTAATGCCAGTTGTGAGACTCGCAATTTGTATATAAAATTCGCCAGGATCAACGACATGTACAACTATGACTGGTGTACGTTTCAGTACTTTGACAGGTTTACTGCTGGCCGCTGCATTATTCATATCCTCTTTAATGTTCTGCAGTGACATATCTCTGCCTTTTAAATTGGCAGCTTGCAAAGCCGCTAGGAATGGATTTATCTGAAGGCTTAAACGCTTCTTTGGTGCTTTAGAAACTTCAACTGCTTGTGTGCTCTCACCAGTTGCCAAGCAGTGACCATATTTAACAAGCATTGCGCCAACATTTACGTCCATATGTTTTTTGCAAACATGCAGTGTGACACGCACGGTGGCTTGGTTTGTTGAGACTATGGTCATTTGTACGGTAGGATTGGCAGTTAACTGGCTAAATTCACGTATTGCCTCCACCGTCCAGGCATAGTTGTTCTCTTGTAATGGTTCGACATCTGCTAGCGTGCATTTGATGGCAAACTCTTTGTGTGTGTGGAATTTATTGGTAAGCGGAAATATTTGACGCCACACGACCTCCTCCTGTGTACCTTCATCGACGAGGTGCACACGTATTTTGCCTGCAAATAGATGAAATCATAATAGCACGTACTATAATTTTTGAGGATACACCAGAGTTATATTTTCAAAAAAAAAAAAAAAAATAAAAAAATAAAAATATAAAAGAGTTGAATTAGTTTTAATGCTTTCTTACCACCTCCACGTATTTCTTCGATGCGCGCCCGGTGCCAAGCATCGTCAATGCGCACAGCGCAACACATTTGTAGTGGTGCTATAAAAATCGGTTGCAATGCCAACTTAGTGTGGCTGTATTTGAAATTCAAATCGGCTTTTAGCTGACGTGCCTCCTCAAAGGCGTCCATCTAAAATCGTATGAAAATGTTTTTTTTTTTTAATATTTACTGTACTAAATATTATTAGAAATTATACCTTCATGACATAAAAGATGTTAGGATTTTCTATACTTATCACTTTTACAAACAACATGTCACCATTATGAAATGAATATTTTGGCAATCTCTGATTTGCACGCGCGACGAGAGACATTTTCTGCAAGAAAAGAGCTGCATTTAATTATATTGTCGAATAAGATATTACTGCTGTTTATAAAGCCATTATTTGGGTAATCTAAAAATTTTGGTCTCAAAGTAAAAGACAGTTCTTGTCCGGATGGATAACAGTTCCGGTCGTTCTAGATTTTAAATTCTTGACCTCCAAATCCGCGGAGGTGGTGTGGCACGCAGGGAATGTCGAAAAGTTCGGTGTTATTTGACCGGAAATAAAAGCTTCTCATACAAATCCACCTGCCATTCGGAGGCGACTAAAAATGAACTGTAGGTCTCTCCATTTGTTGGAAAAACATCTAGATGCATACCACAAATTGGAGGAAGAGCTCGACCGAAAATCGCTTAAGCGTTTACAAAGCACCAACTATATATAATATTTATAGACATTTTTAGGGTTTAACTAATGCGGTCTCTACAAAGCAATAACGATTTACACCACTCCTTATGTATGCATTATAAAGTCATTTGTGCCTTTTGTGCAAATTACAAACACCTCTACTTGGATCTGGAATTGCGTTATACACCAGCTCTGAATCGTTTCCGCTTTGTGCGTTTAGGCTTGAATGTAAATTTCGTACCGACACCACACACGTTTAGGTCCTTTTCGATTGCACATAAGCCACTAGGATCTTTACTATGGCATACATTATTTCAAATGCATAAAATACTGCAGATTTGAATATTGGTCAATAAATGTTAAGGCCTTAGCAATCCCTCAGAACCGCATCTGATGCCGAATTCTAGTGACAGACTTTTTTGTCTTCTATAAAGATCACCTTTTTGGTTGAGAGTTTTACGCCATCGAGCTACGTCTTATGCTCGACTTTCATTTCAATTTTTCAATTAGCAAATTTTAAATAACATGAGCAAAGATCTTCATAGCTGTTTTTTTTTCATTTGGAATACTCTCTACTTAAGAAAACAAATATAAAATAAACTAATGCAATGACTTTTTAAAATAATATAAATAATTGTTTACCTTAAGTGGCGACGGCAGATTTGCTGCACCTGTCCTCTCCCGCGCCAGGCCTGTGTATAAAAAAGAATCGCGTACCGATATTGTATCTTCCGTCGAAGTCATAACCAGATCAACTGACAGCATATTCTCCTTGATGCGTTCTATAATACTAATGCGCACAAAATGATTGTTCGTAATTTCGATAAGTAAATTATTAGCCTCTTCATTCCACTCCTTTCCAGCTGGCATTATATCATGTATAGCACAACGAATAGCAGCAAATGGAATGCTAAGAGATGTAGGGTCGATTTCACAGAATCTGGAAGGAAATAAATGAGAAAAAAAACTTAATATTTCAAAATTTTTTTTTTAGAAAATTCACTTTTTTTTACAAACCTTTCCTTAGATATCTCGACATTCATGCCAATATCGACCAAGAACACTTTATAGAGATCATTTGGCAGTATCTTTTTGACCATAGCACGATACCATTGCTTGTCGTCAACATGATAGGCCATATAGCATTGTCCCTCGGCGATTACTTTAGGAATTATTTCGGTTTGCATGAAATTCACATATTTATTTGAAAGTTCACGTATTTGATGTATAGCATTCTTAGTTTGTACATAGAAATATTCTGGCGATTTAACATGACTGATGCGTACTAATTCCTTATCACGTAGCCTATGATTTTCAGTGGTTTCCGTATCTGAAGTATCATCACCATGCTCAATGTGTCCCTGTGCCTTTTGTTGCTTTTTCTTCTTATTACGTTCATTATTCTTACGCTTATGTTTTTCGGTATAACAGTCTATATCCATTTGATCTGATGAATCTGATTTCATATCGGGAAAGGCACGATTCAAATCGCTATAAATGGGCGTCAAACTGATGCTAATGTGTGGATCTTCGTAATTGTAAGTGAAGACTTGAGGGAAATCTTTACGTAAGTCGTGTTTAACTTTAAATCTGCAAGGAGGAAAATTAAGGAAAAGTCCGCCATCTATATATTCTATATATATTTCTATATATGTTTAAAAGGCTTTGTCTTGAATGACTGACGAATAAGCCCACAGACTAAACCACTAACTGTAGAGGTCTAAAACTCAGAGGATATGTTCTGCGTATGACGTAGACAACTGATAAGAAAAGATTTATTGAGAAGTTGGCCTGGGACCGATCTAATCGGATAACCGAATTTACTTTAAAATCGTTTGATTTAGATGAAATTTCGTACCGAGGTAGCTTTTGGCGTAAATTGACATTTGGGACACTTTTTCTTCCGGGAAGTGGCTCTAGGCCGGATTGTATTTATCGTTTGATTTAAATAAAATGTATTACAGTGGTAACTAAATGAATATAGAGAACTCTTTTTCTTCCGGGAAGTGAGCGTGGGACAGATCTATTTGAAAAAATATATTTGTGGCTTGTTTTCCATGAACACTTTGCCTTAATTAATATTTAAATAAGTTTCACTTTCTGGCACCGATCTGTTATTAGAAATAATCGAGGTTTTGGTTCGCATTTCTGGAAATAGAATTTCTTTTTGGGAAATCGAGCTGGGATCCACCTATTCCGTTTCAATTTATTTGTTATTGGATATGCATATATCCTTGAAAGAATTTTTTTTCGACTGAAAACCGCTTATCGTAGAGACCTGAAATTTCGAGGTCGTATTCTGTGTAAGCTACATAGGCACCCTAAAGCAGGTGAGAATGGAAGGAAAATATTGTATGGGACAACGTAATGGACCAATGATTGTTTAATTTGACTGGGCTAAATGTATATGGCTAAATCAAATAAATAACGTTAAAAAGCACTTGAAAAAAAATCAATTAATGAAAAGATTTAGAACAACGCTTTAGTTAGATCTCAGCCTAAATATACTTACTCGAATGGATTTTTTTTAAGTTTCGAAATTTGTACGCGACATTCTATTTGTTCCAATTGATTATTGTAAATGTCAAATACATTGCGTAGATATATATCAGTTGGTACTTTTTGTTGATACTGCTCCAATTCCGAACGCATTTTCTAACGAAAATGAGAAAAATTTAAAAATATAATTATTTTCATGACCCCGAGAAGTTGGCGCTAAATTGCATTCACTCTCATTCATTTATGATGTTTATGTACTTACAGTTAGTATGCTTTGAGATTCGTTTAGTTTGGAGAACGCATTGCGTATAGTTTTCTGCGGTTCCATACATTGAACATGGAAATCTTCCAATATACGTTGCTCTTCATTTTGTAGGAAACTGTGTAGTTGAAGAAAATATTCGGATATATCCCCGAGGCACTGTGTGGCATAATCTTCAAGTTGTAATTCAATGGCTTTAACGTCCTAGAAAATATGAGAAAGTGAAAAAAGTCATTGAATTAATTTATAAATATTTATATAAAATAAACCATCATAAATTTTTTACGAATAAAAATTTTCATTAAAAGAAAATTTCTAAAATCATTTATAAATCAAAGATAGGCTAAGGATGTGGTAAAGAGCTTATACAAAAAAGAAGAAAATAAATATTATTTTATAATAAAAATGTGTTACTAAATAAAGCAAATAGTCGACTTTTTTTGGCTAAATCTAATAAGTAAAACCCTATAAAAATTGCTTTAAATTTTCAGCAAATTGCCTGAAAACAAATTTTGTATGTTTTTCTTCAAGCAAATTTAGGTGCAGATTTAATAGTTGGTAAATTATTGCTTTTCTACAGACAAACCAAAGACCAATTAACACTATAATATACTTGTGCCAAGGCGCCAAAATCGCCATTAACGTAATTGCAATACTTTGGAGATGATAATTAATCCATACAAAATGCGAGTATATGCTATAAATAAGCTACGAAACAAAAGACTTAAGCAACAAACTTGTTCACTTAATAAACATCCAGTTGGCATGGCGTTAATTGGAAATCATTAAATGATTTTTTGCGGCTCATTAATTTAAATCGAAGCAAAGAATATTGTTTATACTGTGTTATATATACATAGTAATAAATCAAAACTTTTTTAATATAAATCAACTGCTAACCACTTTTCAACTAACATCATTATTATTATAGAATTATGAAGCCATACGAGCTAGAATAAAAAATAATTAAACAAATTTTCCATTTTCTTAATGTTTATATATTTAAGCAGATTCTTTGAAATTGAAGACAATCCGATAATTTTTTGGGGGTCTACTCGCACTTGAATTTGCAGCGAAAATTTCATTCGAAGACAATCATTTTTTTTTCAAACCAGCGTCATTTTGTAAATAATCAAAATTTTTCTTATTTGTTGTTTTGATGCTTAAATAATCTTATTTCTTTTATTTCGATATTTCTTGATTTCAGTCGAACCGAAATGGAGATCACCGCCAAACACCATTTTAACAACACATCACTATTATTTTCTTTGAAGCAAGCTCTAATTAAATAAACATCACTTGTAATTGAAGAACAAAAAACTGTTTCAAAACAAAAAAAAAATAAATTAAAATAAAAATGTTTTCTTTTTGTGTCCCGCAACAGTGGTATGCCCCTTAAAAGAAAATACTTCCAAAAGAAAATAATAATTTTTTGTTTAGAGAACCATGTGTGTCTTGTGAATATCATTTATAGAGGATTATAGAGAATTCAAATACATCCAAACACATGCTTCAACAGGTATCACTGGGCATTATCTAATCGGTAATCTCGAATCAAGGATTGACTACTTCTTTAACGATTTTTGCACAGCTTTCAAAACGCTTTCTTGAAAGTTATTGCGTAGTCTGCATTTCTGAAATAGTTTTAGCAAGTATCAATAATTAATTATGAAACAATCACCATAAGTCACAATAGAGTGGTTTGAGTCACAAGGAGGATGTGACAAGATTTTTCACGCCCACAATCGCATAGAAGCCCCAGTTGCGCTTGACCACAGAGCTTGGATCTGACAACCACCACACAACTGGTCCGCATATCTATATACACAATAATAGTACTTTTTTAGACATTTGGTTTTCAAAAAGAAATAAAACGCATATACTTTAATGTGATGACCAAGAGTTGAGATAAGGCCAAAATTTCTACCACTTTTTGCAGCGATTGGGGTCGCATGTTAGCATTAACGCCGAATATACTCTTCCAGGCATAAATCATCTCATGCAAGCGACTTCAAATAACTCAACAAAAAAAGTAGTCCAGTGGTAACAGAAAGTTTTCTTCCGAAAATTGATTGTCTCCTTGGATGTATGGCATGCATCGTCGTCTTGTCGTTCTACGACGTTCCCCATTTGCTATAAAATTTTTAAAAAAATATGGATTCCCTCTGCACAGCACACAAAACAGCGACTTTTTGAGGATGAAACGGCGTCTCAGCAGTGCCATATGGATTGCCGTCACTCCAAATGTGACAACCATCAAACTAAAAGTGAGCTTCACAAAATCGATGGTCATCTCGTGGTGGGCACATTTCCCGCACGTACGATGCGTTCGATGGTCGATCGGCTTCAATTCTTGCACGAGTAGGATTTTGTAGGCCTACAAATCAAGATCCTCTCGCAAAATCTTCCATAAAGAAAATGGCCCCAGCTCTTATTTTTTGCGCGCGTTGGTGTATGGACTCATTCGGGTCTTCTTCGATACTATGCTATAGATCAACAATAGCGCCTACGGTGCTCTCTGGATGGCATCTCTGCATATGTGCATTATCCACTAGAGAAAACCATCCATGGCAGATCAAATTACTGACTTTCGTGGGCGATAATGTCGACCGAATATTTGAAAGTCACAATGATGTATAAAATTCTTCTTACGCCAAAAGGTGTATAATGGAAGTGCATAAGGCTGGAAGTGTCAACGAAGCAATCACCATTATTCAGTCGATTTTTATGAGTTTCGTTTTTGAAACTGGAGAAATTAAAAATTACACAAAAAAGAAAAGTCGACCGAACTCCTCCTCCAATTTGTGGAGACGCGTTCCGATGATGTTCTTCCAACAAAAGGAACAACTACAATTTATTTTAAGCCACCTCCGAACAACCGCTGGATTTTTATGGGAAGCTTTTTATTTAATGTCAGAAATGCATTTGGAGCACTTGACACTCCCTGCTGGAAAAACATTTACAATAGATTTTAAATATTAAGCGCAAAAACATCTTGCAGAAACTCATAATACTTTTGACAAAAAAAAAAAAAATTACGTACATTTATTTGTACGTTGGGCATTTTGTATTTAAAAATTCTTGTCGTATTTATAAAAATCAATATTTTCAAACTCTATCTAATAATTAAAAGAATACTAAAATACAAATTGCTGGCACGTGTACAATTCTCGTCTATTATAAAGAACCTAAAACATAGCAATTTCAGTGTGTTGAGATGTCATAAATGTTGTTAATTACAAACTGGCAAAAGCAATTAGTGTAAAACAAGAATACCTTTAAAAATATCTTAGCAGACATGTCTCTTCAGGTGCCGGCGTGGTAATAAATTGAAAAGTTTAAGTTCATTACAAATATGTAGATGTGCTAAAGGTATGATGATGCAGATGAGCACTTAAAGCAATTAACAATACAAACAAATGAAGACACGAAATAAAAATTCATTTATTTGAATGTTGGTATTGTAGTTATTAAGAATATTTCAAAACGTTCATACAACGAGTATTTAAAAAAATACAGTCTCTTGGATCTTTGAATAAAATTTATATAATTGTTGTTTCTGAAGTTTAGAGTACTGTAACTGAGGTACAAGGAAATTTGTTTTGTTAATTATTTCTGATATCACTGAAATTATATTTGAAAATCTTGTGAGGGTGGTTATGTGCAGAAAGTCAATTGATCAATTCTTTTACAAGAAAATTTACAATTCACCTAGCAATAAACTCCAAGCTCCTTAAGAAGTAGATGTGTAATATGTTAGGACCAATTTACATTTATATTTTTGAAAACAATTTTATTGTCGGACCGACTAAGCATACACCCCTTCTCCAATATCTGGACAAAGGGGACTGCAAAAACTTATTTGCATCTGTATGCGAGTAGTGTAAGAGGTAGCGTTTTTATGATGATAAGGGATTTCAATAAAAAAAATAATAAATTTTCCGGCACCTGCTAGATGGATCCATTTTTCAGATTTATCAATTTTTTTATTTATACTAAAATCAAATAATGTTTTTCCTTTATCTTTAAATACGCCGCAACTTCTTCCTTGAGTTCCTCATTGTTGATAAAACTTTTAACTCTGAGCACTTCTTTCATTTTGGAAACAGGTGATAATCCCGCGGAGTCCGATCTGGACTATAGGGTGGATGATTCAAAATATCGAGTCCCATCTTATTATGCGCATTGTCGTGCAAAGAAGCGCACTTTTCGTCAATTTTCCCGTATTTTCTCTTTAATGGCTTCTTTTCGATGCTTTTAAATTAAAGCGTAGTACACTCCTGTTATAGAGAAGAGATGAGTTTCCCCAGCTGACTGTTACACCTTAAACTTCTTGGCAGCTGCCGTTCTCTTCATTACAAAGGTAAAAAAAAATGTACGTAAATTCTCTACACGCTGTTGTTTTGCGGATATTCTCGGCATCCATTTTGAGCTGATCTCAGTCATGCCAAGATGATTGTGCTGAGTTTTCAAAATGGTCATTTCGGATGTTCCAATCATTTCTGCGAGTTATTTCTTCTTTGGTCGAGCGTTGTCGAGTACAATTTTTTTCAACTTTTTATATAAGTTCTATCGTGGTCAGCACGATGCTCCAGCACTGCCTCGGGTCCTCTTTAAGAGATTCTCTTGCTGGTTTCAATAAACTGTGCTACTTAAACAACATGATTTTTCCAGGACAAGAGTTGTCGTAAACCATTGATTTCTCATTCATTATAACCGCAACCGATTTTCCTTGCTTGGTCTTGCACGACATTCGATTTATTCCATATTTCACTTTTCACTTTTATTGGTTGACGACAGCTCAAAGACTACTTGTTCCATTGCAATCAAACCTCGTGTTTATTCTAATTACGAGTCACTGAACACCTTACGATCCTAATGAGTCTAATCCCCTACCAACCCTCGCATTCGCCCCTGGTATATGTATTTAAATTCAGTATTAGAAAAGGAAATTAAGTATTAAAAAACATTTTACACTGGCATATGGCAGAAGGTGATTTCCATTCGTTCTTACTTGTTCTTGGTTTGGTTTTGGTTTTGTTGCTTGTGTGGCACGTAGCGCTGCCTTGTTGAAAGTAAACATTATCCATATCAATACCATTCAAATCCGGCTATAAAAACCATGAATTATCTGTCGATATCGCGTAATCCATTCAGTTCGAAAATGTAAGTTCCAATGACCCCACTAGATCTTAAACGGCACC